GTGCCTGGCTCATTGCAATTAGGATAGCACTCTCCAGTTCTATGTCCATTGCTGCAAATGACAGGATTTCATCCTTTTTATGGCTGAATAGTATTCTATGATGTCTGTGTACCACAATCTCTTTTTCCATTCATCGGTTGATGAAGACTTAGATTTTTTTTTTCCCATTTCTTGATTATCTTCAATAGCACTGCCATGGACAGGGGAGTGCAGAACGGTGTGAACTTGATCTTGAAGAAGCACACCACAAACATGAGAAAATCAACCCCAAACAGTCAACATTAAGACATGGTCCAATAGAACTATTGGGCCGCCAAGAGAGAAGAAAAAACTCAATGGGGCATCCAGGCAAAAAGAAAAAGTGCATTTTAAGGGGAAGTTAATTAGTCTGGCAATCAGTCTTTTCTACAGCAGCACTTAGTGCTGGAAAAAAAACTTATTTCAGATGGTCAGAAAAAGAGAAGTGAGGATTTAACGTGCAGACCAATGGACTTTCAAGTAAAGCCACAGATGAATTACTGTGCACATACAAGAATCCAGGACCTACTCCCATGATGTTTTCCAGAGAAATTTACTAAAAAACAAGCTACAGATAACCAAAATTACTGGCAAGGTATTGATGGAAGGCTTAGAGATGCTCATTTAATTTATAGTCACCTGTAGAGTTTACAGATAATGGGTGTAGGACAGAACCTGATGTGTGTTGGTTTGTTCTAATAATGCATATAAAATCTGTGTACTAAAAATTAGAAAGTATACAAGAGAAGTATCACAGAATAATTTCACAGATTGACTTTTTTCCCTCCATACCAGCGTTTGAATCCAGGGGCACTTAACCACTGAGCCACATCCCCAGCCCTTTTTATTTTTTCATTTTGAGACAAGGTCTCACTGAGTTGCTGAGGCCGACTTTGAACTCATGATCCGCCTGCCTCAGTCTCCTCCCAAGCCGTTGGGATTATAGGTGTGCGCCACCGCATCATAGAATGACTTCTTAACTGGAAGCAAATGAATATTTCTTCATATTTGATGCTAGGGGAGAGGGAACGAAGAGAAAGATAGTCTAATGGCTTAATTTCTTATATCCCTTGCTGTAGGGAATCATCAGACAGGAATAAAAAGGAATGACTAAAGGTACTGTTTAAAGGTTAGGGTTTAATGGTAACCATTAGAAGGAAAACAACAGACTTTTTCCCTACAGAAGTAGGAGAGCAAGAAGGAAAAATCATTTGAGTACACACACACCCCCTCTCACCTGGACCAGCATGCCCTCTTCTGCATCTTGTCCAATGTTGAAAGAAATGTCTCCTCAATCACTCCTCAGCCTTTTGATGAAGATCAAGTGTAAAATCGTCTCCTCCAGGAGACATTCAGCCTTCTCTGATTGCTGAAGCAAATAGAGCTCTCTCTCTCCTCCAACCCTACTTACCTCTCTCGGTACTAGACACCAAGTTTTGTGAATGTTTCATTTATTTCTCCCGAGGTCAGAGATGAAGTGCTGTATAAAATGGAATGATACCATTTTGAGAGTTTGGCACAGAATTCTGCACACAGAAGGTGCTCAGTAAGTGCTGGGTCATCGGTAATTCACCATTGATTGAAGGATTGGGGTTTACACACTCTGGGATTTTTCTAAGAGCTTACCGTTGCTATTAGGCAAAAGATATCAGTTTGAAGTGACCGTAATTCAATTTAACTGACTTAGGAAAAAGAGAAAATTATAGACCTCTGAAACTGAATGCTCTAGGGCAGCTAATTTCAGGAATGACAGGATCTAGCGACTCAAGTCATAGCACCAATCTCTGTATTTCTTGGTTCTGGACTCCTTTCTTTCCTGTATATTGGTTTTATTCTCAGGCAAGCTCTTCCTTCATGGTCAGTTATGGCCTCCGTAAGTTAAGGAGCTTAGCATCCCCATCAGAAAAGAAGGTGTCCAGTTTGCAAGAGTCCAGTAAAAGTTCCAGGATTGAGTCTCATTGTACGGGGAACCAAATGCCGCAGTCTGGCTGGGCACAATTCAGGAGCCACTTGTCCAAAGAAACGAACTTTATTTTTAGAACCACACACTGCACCACACCATGCAGCTCCTCAGGAAAAACCCTCAGAGCCCAACTGCCACCACCGGCTTCCCACAAGCCTCTCAACCTCCCCCACTCCTCCTGCTCTTGAGGCCGATTGGCTGGGTTGCATGGGCGGAGCCAAAAAGTCCCCCAATGAGCAGCTCCGTGGTCTGAAAGGGCGGGGGAAACAGCCCAATGAGCATCACCGCAGAGGAACCAATCAGTTGGCAGCTAGAAGTTTGCTGGGGCCGCTGTGAGCCAATCATCAGCTGGCAGCTGGAAGTTTGCTGGGGCCCCTTGGCTGTGGCTCTCAACATCATTGGCTTAGCTTGCATCATCTGCTCATCCCTGAGCCAATCACTGGGGTCAGGAGAAACGCTTTGTTTTGATTGGCCAGCTCTGCGTCCTGGGACCTCCCCTGAAGCTCCCTGTGAGTCAGGGAGAAGGGACTCCCCAAAGGGAAATTGAGCTGCCCCTGGCCACAAAGGGGAGGTGGATGCTGAGTAGGCAAAAAACCGATACTTTCCCTATTTTAGCGTTGTTTCTAATGAGCAGACTGCACGAAAATGACTTGCTAGTGATTTCACTGGTTTGGGGGCACATCTTTGGGGCATGTGGATTAAAATTTCCTTTTGGTATTTCTGACACAGAGGGTTTTTACCACTGTGGTATGGGGGGTGGAGAGCGTGGGAAGAGCCCCTCTACTAGATGGTGGGGTGCTGTTGTGAGGGAGCAAGCTTTTTCTCACCTATCTCAGGGACTCTCTCTCTCTCTGGTCTGCCCACTTGGCCTGAGGACAGTGAGGGAGGGACCCTCATTTGCAGAAGACTCCAAGGTGAGCGCATGTGCAGGAACCAGGCGTCTCAGTGGCCACACCAGGTCCCTCCTGCTTTCTGCATCTCTCTGTATGGTTTACTCGCCTTTTGAGTGGAAAGGGGAATTCACTAGAGAGAGCAAATGGGGAAACTGAGGCATAGCAGGAGGAATTAAAGATACACCCATTTTCCTTCTGAACCTGCCACATTTTATTTCTCCATAGGACCCTTCCTATGAATATTTAAAGCAACTTCAATTTCCCACTTGTAGCAAAATTTCTCAAGTTCTTTTTGGAGAGGGTAATGGGGATTGAACTCAGGGGCGCTCAACCACTGAGCTAAATCCCCAGCCTTATTTTGTATTTTATTTAGAGACAGGGTCTCACTGAGTTGCTTAGCACCTTGCTATTGCTGAGGCTGGCTTTGAACCCACGATCCTCCTGGCTCAGCCTCCCCAGCTGTTGGGATTTACAGGCCTGCGCCTCCACATCTGGAGAGTTCCTTTTTTATTTTTAATTTTTATTCCCTCTTTCCATTGCTTCCTCTCTGGTCTGCTGGTATTCTCCATCCCCAGCCCCACTTCATGAAATAGCTCTCCCTGAATTCTTCATGGAGCTGCAAGATCAGACCCAATGAGCCAGCTTCGAGGAGGAAAAATAATAATAATCCATGCCTTAGATCAAGAGGCAAGCCCTGGAGTCTGTTGAGTGATGTAACGGATTTGAGCAACTCCAGAGTAGAGTGGCCTGAAGCAGGTAATCAGATCCCCAAGAGAGAGGACATATAGATAGTTGATCTGGAAATGAGAGAGGTTGGGGGTTCAGTAGGGAGCCACGATTTCTTCAGACCTCTAAAGTATAGCCAGGCAGAAGAGAAAGATGTGGTCCAGTGACCCCAGCAGTTGGAAAGGAATTCTTCTTATTTTTTAAAAAAATGAGCTAACAGTCTGACTCTCTAAAGAAGAAATCACCTGTGTCTAGAGATGGTGCCCTTCCTGTCATTGACGGCAATCAGAGAATCTTCTATCAAAAGTACTGAGAACAGAATCCTGGTTGGGAGAGAGCTGACACCAGGGGACTTCTGAGACTGATTCCAAATCTCAAAATCCAAGCTGTATCTCAGTGGTAGAAAGCTTACCCAGCACGTGTGAGGCCCTGGGTTCCATCCCCAGCAATGCTAAAGAAAAAAAAAAAAAATCTGAAATTCTGAGACCAGTTAAGCATGCATCTCTAAAGATGGGCCTCCATGGATTTGCATCCACCCCTTCCCAGCTGTGTGATCTTGGGCATGTTACTTACCTTCTCTGTTCCTCAGTCTTCTTAGGCTGTAAAAGGGAGCTAACAGTCCCTCCTGCACACGGATACTGTGAATATTCATGTGGTCATGTGTCAAGGTTCAGCAAGATGCCTGGCACATCATAAGTGCCTAATAAGTGCCAAATGCCATTCTCTAGAGGGTACATAATGCCCAAGCAGGAGTCTCATCAGCTGCATTTGGGCTCTAGCTGCAGATTTTCCTTGGTAAATTCCGGGAGCCGAGCTCCAAGAGAGCCCCTGGTGACGGCTTCCCTGCCTCCTCTGTGCTCAGGGAGGCTGTCCAAATGCAAGCCTTGAAGAGTCTCCCGACTGTGTTCCTGTGGTCCAATTAACCACCAGGAAATGACAGCGTTCGTTTGGCTCACACATGACTTACCTTAGGAGCAAGCATGCACCCCCACCGAGGGGTGGTACTCCTTGCTTGAATGACAAGACAAGTTTTTTCTCCACTTTGCAGGTAAGGACAGTGTGCCTCAGAGAGCTTAAGTCACTCTTCCAAGGGCACACGGCTGAAACCAAAGTCCTCCACATCCAAATTCATTCCACACTGTGAGCTTTTATCCATAACCTCCCTCCGGAAGATTCTGGAATTCACTCAGAGCGTCGTATGCATTTCGTCAGGAAGTCCACAAAACTAGGACTTTTAAAAAGAGGGTCCTGAGAAGATTAGGAAGTTTGGTGGTCCCTTTGTGGACGATTTTATGGCAGGTGGGGGATATCAGAAAACAAGACACACACACACACACACACACACACACACACACACACCTGACCTCACCTCTCTGCCCACTTCGTTGTCCTTCCTGCAGGTGTGGGTCGATGCTGGGACGCAGATCTTCTTCTCCTACGCCATCTGCCTGGGCTGCCTGACTGCTCTGGGGAGCTATAACAATTACAACAACAACTGCTACAGGTGAGCACCCCCGGGGCCCCGCCTGCCCTCCTCCCTGCTCCCGGAGACCCTTCTGCAGCATCACACCAGTCCCTTCAGCTGCCTGCCTTGCAGGGCCCAGGAGGGAACATATGGGCTGCTTGCTGACCTCCTCCTGCCCAAGGGTCAAAGAGGGGGCCACCAGAGGAGGTAGGGCTACTAGTGCAATCAGAGTCTGCGGCAAGGTGAATCCGCCCCCCCAGAATCTCTCTCTAGCCTCTGTCGGTGTCACCTCACATGGAGGCACAAATTTAGCCCAGAGCCGGCAAGGAACTTGCCCAAGGTCATGCAGCTCACTAGTGGCAACATCAACAGGTGACCCAGGTGTTCCGGCATAGAAGGGCTTATCCTTCCACCATCTATTCACAAATAGGCTTCCTTGCCCGTCTTCCTTGACTGTAGGGTTCTCTCCTGTCCTACTTGGAGTGGCTGCTGCCCCGCCTTGCCCCTTGGCCTGACCGGCCTCCCACCCTGACCTCCTATAGATGGCCACACCCAGGTGGCAAGGGGAGCCCCACAGCTGGGCTGAGACCTGCACGTGCCCAGAGTTTCCCAGCAGCACAGGGGGCAAGTGAAATCTGTGCCGTGATTATCTGTGGGTTGAGGTCTCTGCACCTCTGGACTCAGAGCCCTGCACAGGTTAGGGGAGTACTTACAGGTGGATGGTAGAGGGTCTCTTTCTAAGACCCCCAAGATCACCAGAGACAAGACTGTGGAATAATGACAGCAAAGCCGTTCCCCGTCACATGTTGGTGGAGAAAGGAAAGGGGTTGGCACAAGTGATTCTGAGATGAATATTTGGGGGAGATAAGTTAGATCCTCAAACCTCATCCCATATAGTCACATAATACAATTGACTAAAGAGTTAAATTTTGAAAGGGAACTATCCTCAAATAAGGAATAATAAAATACTTAATTTCAGAATGGGAAAACATGTAAAAATCATTAGAAAAAAAAAAGAAATCACAAGGGAAGAGAGTGACATTGGCTCATGTAAAAATCTACAATTTTTTTTTTCTCTTTTGGTACTGGGGATTGAACCCAGGGGTGCTTAACCACTGAGCCCCATCCCCAGCTCTTTGTATTTTTTTATTTTGAGACAGGTTCTCACTAAGTTGCTGAGGCTGGCCTTGAACTTACAATCCTCCTGACTCAGCCTCCTGAGTTGCTGGGATTATAGGTGTGCATCACCACACCCAGCAGAAATCTAGATTGTTGGGGCTGGGGTTGTGGCTCAGTGGTAGAGCACTTGCCTAGCACGTGCGAGGCCCTGAGTTCGATCCTCAGCACCACATAAAAGTAAATAAATAAAATAAAGATATTGTGCCCAACTACAACTAAAAAATAAATATTTTTTTAAAAAAATTTAGATTGTTAAATGTTAGACTTCTAAACTTTAAAATTTTCTACAAAGAAATTTTTTTAAAGAGAGAGAGAGAATTTTTTTTATATTTATTTTTCAGTTTTTAGTTGGACACAACATCTTTATTTTATTTTTATGTGGTGCTGAGGATCCAACCCAGTGCCCCGCACATGCCAGGCGAGCGTGTTACTGCTTGAGCCACATCCCCAGCCCTATAAAGAAATTTTTAAAAACTGTTCAAAATAGCCTAGAGACTGGGCCTGGGAAGTCAGGGGGCGGAAATGTCCCCCCCCCCTCATTTATACCTCCTATATCATTAAGACATTTTTCTGTTTTTTTTTTCTATTACTATGAGTACTTATTGACTTTAATTTAAAAAAAAAAGTTAGTACAAATATCTACATGTTGTATTTTATTTAGATGTTGATGGACATTTATTTTATTCTTTTTATTTATATGCGATGTTGAGAATTGAACCCAGTGCCTCATGCATGCTAGACAAGCACTCTACCACCAACCACAGCCCCTGTATTTTTTATCTCTAAATAAAATATGACAATCATCCTCAAAACTAAAGGGCGTAGTAGTATATAATATGATATTCAGTGGGGTTAGATCCATACTATGTTAAGGTGATGAATGTGTCAATATGAAAAACACTAAAATACAAAAGAAAAATAAACTACATCCAGGCACAGGGGAGGGGCCCATGCCTGTGATCCTAGCTACTGAGGCAGGAGAGTGCACAGGGCGGGTTAATGGGCAATTTAGGAAGACCCTGCGTCAAAATAAAAATTAACAAGGGCTGGATGACGTGGCTCAGTGATAGAGCACCCCTGGGTTCAGTCCCCCGGACAATGAAAGAGAGAGAGAGAAGGAGGGAGAGAGAGAAGTCCTATTAGGGCTGGGTGTGCAGCGTGGTGGTGGAGTGCATGTCCAGCCTGCATGAGGCCCTGGGTTCCATCCCCAGCACAGCAAAGTAAGTAAATAAGAAGAGAGAAAAGAAAAATAAGCAACAGACTCTTATAAAAACCAGATTATTTTTCTCAAGTAGAACATGAGCAGTAACCCAAAAACGAATCCCCGTTCAGTGTAGGTGAGGGCATGTGGGAGGGGCGTGTTCCCCTGGGCCGGGAACTGATGACCACAGAACCTGACCGCGGCCTGGCTCCCGTGGAATTGCCACTTGAAAGACCTTTTGTGGATGGTCCATCCCCTCCCCCATTCTCCCTGACTCTATATAAAATACAAAATAGGGCTGGGGAGGTGGCTCTGTGGTCGAGGGTCCCAAATTCAATCTCTGGACACTGGGAATCCCGTGGTCACTGACTATCCCCTCCAGCTGGGCCATCAGGAGCAAGAGGACACCAGCAAGTTTCCTCATTCTCCCTGTATCCTGTGGGCCTGGTCTCGTGCTGGCTTTCATGCCATAAGACACCCATTTGTCACTTGTACCGACAAGGAGACAGGGGCCCGTGGAATTTAAGTCACTTGCTTGTGTTCCCATAGCTGGTGATAGAATATGGCTTTCCCGGCCCTGGTACCCGGATTCGGATTCCTCACTACCACGGATGGCCAGTTCCTTCCAGGCTATTAGAACTGAATCTGGCCGAGGCTGTCTTGTCACCAGTCTGGGTCCCTGGGCAGTTGCTTCTTCCAAATGTGCACCCGAGTGACCGATACCAGCTACCCCCCAATCCCTCTGCGTTCCCATCCAACAGCTAGGGATTTTATTTTATTTTTTTCCTTTCTGTCTCTTATCAGCAGAAGAAAGCAAATACCCGAGGTGACATTGCAGAAATCAGAAGGCTCCTTTTAGTCCTGTTTCAAAATCGTTCTGCAAGCGGGTCCTTCCCATCTCAGACGGAGTAAATTAATACCCTCTCTCCTGACAGCATAATCGCTTCTGGAGGTCTTACCAGCCCAAGCTGAGCTCCTGCTGACTTCAAAGCACTGGTTATGTAAGGCTTGCACCTAAGCAGTGCTCGAGCTGGCGCAGGGAAGGAATTAGAGGGATGGGAATGGACCCACGCGGACAGGGGCGAGCGTCCCCCCAGAGCACACAGCACTAGGCCACAGCTGCCTGGTTGCATGGATGCCCCGGGGGCTGGCGAGCAGGTCACAGGGATGGAAGGGACCCTAGGACCCTTGAGAGCTTCCCTCTCTGTCTGCCTGTCACTCTGTGGTTGGAGGAAGTCACCCGAGAGACCTCTGCAGGAAGATGGGGATTTTGTAACTGGGGACATTTTCTTTTTCGCCCTCTGTATGGATGCCCAGAGATAACTGTCCAAAGCCCCGGGCTCTGGAAGTCTTACTTCTTGGGGGCACATCATTTTTGTTCAGCTCCTGGAAATAGCATCTCAGACGCATCCCAAACTTCACAAGTGACTGTGAGACTTGCAGTAGATGATTCTCCTTTTCTGGTCCTCCAGGTCTGAGTGAAACCTAGTGTAGGGCCTGACACGCTGGCTGCAGCTCCTTTAAAAACGATATAGGAGCCTGGCATGTGGGGGGGTGAACACCTGTAATCCCAGCGGCTTAGGAGGCTGAGGCAGGAGGATGGTGAGTTCAAACCCAGCTTCAGCCAAAGCAAGGTGCTAAGCAACTCAGGGAAACCCTGTCTCTATATAAAATACAAAATAGGGCTGGGGATGTGGCTCTGGGGTTGAGGGCCACATCCTGAGTTCAATCTCTGGTACCCCAAACAAATAAGAATAATACAGGAGAAGTCCAAAATGTAGCCCACGTGGAGGCAATGCGTCCATTGCATTCCCAGCACCATCTCATGTCAGTCTGTTCAATAAAGCAGGCCCATTTTACCCCAGACTCCAGGACCCAGGCGGGAGAAGCAGATTTGTCTCTGCCTTAAGAAGAGCTTGGCCCTCATCCAGGCCTGGACTGAGTTTCCTGTATAGCAGAGGCAAATGAGTTTTGCAGATAACGTGGCAGGGCTACCATCCCAGCCAGCATTCACAAAGCAATTTAAAAAAAAAAAAAAAAAAACCTGTATCAGTCATCCACTGCCACATTAATGCTGTGTAACAAACAGCCCCAGACCTCAGGGAAGTTTGACCGTAAGAAACATTTTCCCTTACTGCTCTCCAGGCTGCCGGTCAGCCAGGGAAACTCTCCGGGCTGAGGGTTGGGTGAGTCTGACTCCAGGCCAAGCTCAAGTGCGTGCCATGTGTGTGCATTCTGGGGTCCAGGCTGAAGAGATGGCAGCTCCCCTGAGGAATTCTTCTCATGGAAAATCACAGAAATGATAAAGGACAAGTCCAATTAGGCCAGCACAACTCAAGCCTCTGTTTGTGTCACATTGGCTCACGTCTCGTTGTCCACAGCCAGTCATGTGGCCAAGGCCAGAGTCGGCGGGGCAGGGAAATACACCCGTCTCCAGGGAGAAGGGAGCAGGAGTGACAGCTTGCTGAGAGTGATTTGATGGGACACAAATCCCAAGAGACCCAGTTCCCCAAACAGCTGGCCTCGTCCTGGGTGAGATCAGACCCCAAATAAAGATACTGCAGGGAGAACTGGAACCCACGGGTCCGGACTCCTAGTCCAGAGGCTCTCCCTTAGAAATCATCATGTCAGTCGCCAACCATGTTCTTATCACCTTTGGTTGCATCGCATGAAGCACAGTGTCAGGAGAAGAGGAGGTGAACGTCTCACTCCGTGCCCGAGCCTAGTGCCTGGGTATAATAACTGAAGAGGGGCTTGGTGAACGGGGTACGTCAGAGATCAGGAGCAGGATGAAGAGCTGGTAAACGGAACTGGGATGTTGAACTGGGAGAACAGAAAACTCAAAGGGATATAAGTCCACTATCTTTAGATCTCCCCAGCCTGAAGGCATGCCAGGCTATTTTTTTTGAGGGTAAAACCAAAACTTCCCAGAGGAAAGCAGGTTTGGGTCTCATGCAGTCGAAGCAGTTGGTGTAGTCCAACAGGGGGAAGGGACTACTGAGAACAGGGGAGGGTCCTGCCACCCACTGGGTCACTGTCCCGCCCCGAGTCATGGCAAGGCATTGACGCAGGCCGTGTGCCCAAGCCACAGCCCCACCCATCCTCTTTGGTGGCTGGGATTCTGGGAGGCGGATGCCCCGACTTGGCAACAGGCTGAGACATCAGGGATCCGTTTCCTCCAGGTTGTCGAAGCCCTGACATTTGTAGTCTGATTTCTCCTGGGCTTTGTGCAGCGGGGGGCTTCTTGGCCGGCGAGTCCCTCTCCAGAGCAGATGAGAGCCCCTGACCCAGTAAATCCCTCCACAAGGGGGTCCATGCTGGAAGGGGCTGCTCCTCATAGCAGCAGAACAGAGACTGAGCCGTGAGTTCTGTGAGATGTGGCTCTGGTCGGCAGCAGCTGGTCCCAGAAGGATGTCACGATAAAACCTCTTCCCCGAGAAGCAGCTGGAGCACCAGGCGTGAGGTCCCAGTTGGTCCCCTGGCTCAGAGGCAGCCGTCTCACAGGGAGGCTTCTCCCATCCTCTCAGTTTTGAGTTCCCAGGAATATAATCCTCTCCTTTCCCTGGCTTTCTCTCCTTCCAAGGATTCAAGGGGACTTTGGTTTGTCTCCCAGGTTTCTTCTCGCTCAATCTGCACTGTACCACATGCCAGCCTCCGTTCCTTCCTTCACCACCCCCTCTCCGTGCTTGTGATCCATGCCCTACCTAATCTTGGAGAAATGCAGGAGAAGCTGTGTGACCGTGGGCCAGCCACCTAACCTCTCTGAACTATGGGTGCTTCACCAGGGAAATGGGGCTGTGCCTGCCCTCACTTCCCTGCCTGCCACCCCCCACAGCGCTCAGGTGGACAGTGTTCCGGCAATGCACCCGTCCTGCCCACTCTGACCTGAGTCCCTCTTGCTGCTTCCCCACAGGGACTGCATCATGCTCTGTTGCCTGAACAGCGGCACCAGCTTCGTGGCCGGGTTTGCCATCTTCTCCGTCCTGGGCTTCATGGCATACGAGCAGGGGGTACCCATTGCCGAGGTGGCAGAGTCAGGTGAGTTTGCCGCAGGTTGGGGGCGGGTCTAAGAGGCCCCGGGGGAGATGGATGAGCAGAATGTCGGTGCGGTCTTCATCTCCTGGGTTCAGGTCCTGAGAGGTGATTCCACCAGTCATCTACGGGCCGGGACCTCAGGAGGGAGCACCTTCACACTTCCCCTCACTCCTGTAACCCAAAGCCTTCCTCAGCCGCTCATGGGTGCTACACTCAGCATGGGCCAGGCTCCTGGGGTTTCATCCTCCCATGCCCACTCTGCCCAATTTCAGTGGTCTGTTCCCTTTGGCAACATAAGTCACTCCCTCGTACCGCAGGGCCTTTGCACGTGCTGCTGTCTCTGCTTGGAGAGTCTCCCTCCCTCCCCTGTTCTAGATGTAGGATCACCCCAGTTTGTCATGGCCTTAAGTGTAGATGGACGTGTTTGTGTCAAACCCAGCGTGGGCAAGGTTGTGGTGCCAGTGGTGAAAACCCTTCCCTTGGTTTTCATGGTGTTTGAATTCTGGGCAGATACACTATATGTTTTTAAAAAAATACAAAAATAGTTTTGTTTGCATGACATAGGAAGCTAGGCTCCAAACTCAAGTGCAAGTAGGTTTTTCCCATACAAGAATGTCCAGGGGGATGGTCTGTCAAGGGCGGCGCAGGGCGGTCTAGCCTCCTTGGGCTTCCATCTGCTTGATGCCAGTTGTGCCCACCTCCACGGTAAACAACCGCGCTGCCTCCCTGGTGAGCCCCAGTGCAAAGTGTGGCTACCTCTGTCTGCTGTGCAGAGTCAGGGCCAGCACCCTCTGACCACCAGGCTGGGCAGGCCGGCGAGTGTGGACTTCACAGGAGGAAGCTGTACCTGCTCGGGGGCCCTCCCTTCTTGGGATTGTGTGTATCAGACATAGACATGGTCCCTGCAGAAACCAGGGGTCCAGAGCTAGACCAGAGGTTTGCAAATGCAGGCAAAGCTCTGTCCTTGGGCCCCTGCTCTTTGGGTAGGAGATAGCTCACATGTGACCTCATATGATTCTTAGCTCAAAATACCATGATTAGACAGCTGCCGGAACACTCAGAGGAATGTTCCAGAACACCTATGAGGCTGAGCTAGGGAGGCAGAAAGTGCAAAACTCGCTCGATCCTGCTCTAATCCCGGTGCCCAAGATTTGCTGACCTTCCTCGAATATCCCCTCGTCTGTCTCTCTGGTACTCCTCGCGGTCCAGGTGCTCTTTCCTGATACAGAGATTTTACACTGCTTATAGTTGAGTCTTACTTTGAAATCCAGACTGATCATATTCTGCCTTCTAACTGGAGTATTTGGTCCATTTTTCAATTAGTGATATGATTTGGTCCTGAAGTCAGCTTCAAAGAAGAGAATGTCAGAATAATAATCAGAAATGGGAAGGGACAGATGTGTAGAGGAGGTACAAAGGGATACGTTGTTAACTTTAAGTCGACTCTGCTGAGTTATAGATGTGTATTGTTAGCCCAGCTCCTTAGAAAATAATAAAACAGAGCTAAAAAAGCCAACAAATGGAATAAAACCGAGTATCAAAAAATACTGAGAAGTTGAACAGAAAGCTGGAGATGCACAACAGAGTAGAAGAAAGCAAAATAAACAAACAAGAGAAGACCAGAAGGAAAACAAACACAAAGGGCTAGGTGGGAACGTAACTGCATTAGTGATTACACTAAGTGTGAATGGATCAAATATGTCAACTAAAAAGGAGAGATTGTCAGACTGGATTTTTAAAAAGTGAGATCCGATTATAAAATATCTAAAAGAGGCACCTATTAAATTTAAAGACACAGAGAAATTTACCAAAAAAAAAAAAAGAGAGATATACCATCCAAACAATAAGCATAGAAAACTGGCTTTGCTGTGTTTGTATTAGAGAGAGTAGACATCAAGTCAAAGTCAAAGGGTACTATTAGAGAAAAAGAGAGATGTTTCATAATAACAAAGGGAACAATTCATTGGGAAGATCTAATGATACTAAATGTGTTTATGCCAGATAACAGAGATTAATACATAACGCTGCCAGGCATGGTGGCACACACCTATAACTCCTGTGACTGCTCAGGAGGCTGAGGCAGGAGGATCACAAGTTTGAGGCTAGTCTCAGCAACTTAGCAAGACCCTAGCAACTTAGAAAGACCCTTTCTCAAAATTAAAAAAAAAATGAAATAAAAATGGTTGGGAATGTAGCCTAGTGTTAAAGTGCCCCCCGGTTCGATCCCCAGTACCAAAACCTGGAGGGATGAATGGACAGACGGACAGACGGACGGACGGACAGATGGACGGATGGATGGATGGATGGATGGATGATAAAAGATAAAATAAATAAAGCTAAAACAGAAAGAACCAAAGGGGGAAATAGACAAATCCATAATCATACTTAGAGATTTTAATATCCTTGACTCACTAATGATAGAACAAGACAAATTATCAATAAAGACGTAAAATATGAACATCGACTTAATTGACATTTACAAAAATCTGTACCCAGCAACTGCAGAGTATAATTCTTTTCAAATGGACATGAAATATCCACCAAGATAGAGCGTGTCCTGGGCCATGAAATAAGTCTCAAAATATTTCAAAAGAATGAAATTTATATAGAATATAATTCTCTGGCAACCACCGAGGTAAATCAGAAACCCTTAACGAAATAATATCCAGAAAGTCCCCAAGTGCACGCAGAGTAAGCAACACGTTTCTAAATATTTCATGGTTCAAAGAACAAAACACTTCAAGCTTCACAGTAACGCAAACTTAACATATCGAAATTTGTGGGATGCAGTTAAAATACAGTGACGTTGACAGCTTTAAATACCTATGTCAGAATGAAAAAAAAAATGCTTACATTTAAAAAAAAGTTAAGTTTGAATCTTAAGCAGGAAAGGAAATACAAATGAAGCCAAAGGTAAATAGAACAAAAAAAATAATAATAAAGATAATTGAGTTAGCTTTGTGCTGCTGCAGGGGTCAGAATTCCCAGCCAGAGCAGCTGAGAGGAGGGGAAAGCTCATGTTGGCTCTTGGTTTCAGAGATTTAGCCCACGGTCAGGGGACTCCTTTGCTCTGGGCCCCAAAGTGAGGCAGAGCCTCATTAAAGGGACAGACATGGTTTATAGGAAAATGATCATAGCTTCAAGTGGGTGGTGAAGGGAAAAAACAAGAAAGAGGTAGAGCCCCACAAAACAGCCATGACAACAATAGAGAACCCTAAAATCCAGAAATAAAGAGGAGAACTCACCCTTGCCCCCACCGGCAAGACAGAACCGTGCTGAGTCCTCGGACTTTACAGATGAAAGAGGAGGCTGTTAAACCAGGAAGATTATCAAATACCCAGCAACCCCCCAAACGGACTCGACTTCATGCATACACAGCTACCATATAAAGTCAGGAGTAGCCAGTCAGAATGGCCATCATCAAGAATACAAGCAACAATAAGTGTTGGCAAGGTTGTGGGGGGAAAGGTACGCTCATACGTTGCTGGTGGGACGGCAAATTGGTGCAACCACTCTGGAAGACAGTATGGAGATTTCTCAGAAAACTTGGAATGGAACCATTTGACCCAGTTATCCCACTCCCTGGTTTATAACCAAAGGACTTAAAATCAACATACTACAGTGACGCAGCCACCTCAATGTTTATAGCAGCTGAATTCAATAATAGCTAAGCTATGGAACCCACCTAGGTGCCCTTCAATAGATGAATGGATAAAGAAGTTGTGGCATATATTCACAATGGAATATTACTCAGCCTTTAAGAAGAATGAAGCCATGGTGTTTGCCAGTAAATGGATGGAATTGGAGAATATCATGCTAAGTGAAATAAGCCAATGCCAAAGAACAAAAAGCTGAATATTTTCTCTAATGTTAATTCATAATAAGGGGATGGGGCTGGGGAAGAATTGCGTTACTTTGGATTATACAGAGGGAAATGAAGAGAGGGGAGGCCATATGGAGGTAGGAAGGATAGTTGAATCAGACATTATTTCCCTCTTTGCATATATGATTACATGACTGGTGTAACTCTACATCATGTACAACCAGCAAAATGAGCAGTTATACTCCATTTATTTATGATGTGTCAAAAGGCATTCGACTGTCATGTATAACTAATTAGAACAAATTTTAAAAGACATTAAAAAAGAAAAGAATAGAAGTTTCCCACAGATCAACAAACAACCATACCTTTCCTCTGAAGACCAAATATGAAGTAGAAAGAGATTGTAAGTCAGCCCTCACATGTCTCTGTCCATTTTCCTGTGGCTATCACAGAACACCTGAGATTGGGTAATTTATAAAGAAAAGGTTTGTTTAGCTCATGGTCCGGGGCCAGGGAAATTCAAGAATGGTAGCTGCTTTGGGTTGAGAGTATTGTGCTGTGTCACGTAGCATGGCAGATTTGGCGCCTATGCAAGAGTAGGGGAGCAAGGAGGGCCGCAGAGAGGGAGGGGACAAAGGAGCCCATTCACTTTTGTCACATCCTGCTCTCAAAACACCACTCCATTCTCAAAAGAACTAATCCCGTCTTCCAGAGAAAGACACTAATCTCTCTCCCTGACTTGATCACCTCTTAAAGACTTTGTCACCTCTTGAAGGCCCCACACCCCCAAAACCGCTAACCAGATTTCAATGTGAGTTTTGTCAAGGTCAAACCGTATCCAAACCGTAGCACCAACAGAACTAGACATAGTCAACTGGGAATCTGAGGATGTGGAAAGCCACCTAAACCAGAAATTCCAAACTAACAAGTGATGCTGGGGGCGGAATGGGAGATGGACAGGAAGAAATGGAGAGAGTTCATTGAACTCAGGGGGAAAAAAATGAAGAAAAGAAAAAACAAATCATCTAGAACAAAAATGACAAGGTATCCCATAGAAAATAGTCTTGAAAAGGAGCACTGAAGAAAGACAGAAAAACACCGTGGAACGTAGGCAAAGAAATAATATTTATATTATCAGAGTTCCCGAAGGGGAAAAAAGATAAAAACTAGTGGCCACAGAGGTCGTGTTTAAAACTATATTCCAAGGAAAATTTTCAGACATGAAGAGCCGAGTCCACACATTGTAAGAAACTCCCTCAGATGCCAGGAATAATCAACCCAGAATAATGAACTTGGAGGCACTCTGCTAAAGCCGCTAGCCTTGAAAGATAAAATCCTCCAAGTCTGCAGGCAGAAGAGATCAAATAGCCTGCAAAAGCAGGAGCCCGGCACCCCCAAAACCGACTTACAGAGTGCACACAAGGCAACGCTGGAGCAGCCCTTTCATCTCAGATCCCGAAAAAGGAAACTTGGATCAAAGCTTTAACACCTGGCCACAATTTTATTTTTCCACTATCAAAGCCACAGAAATCCATTCTCAACGTTGAGGAATGTGGGAGCTCTGCGCCCATCAGTCCTTGAGGGAACTTGAGTAAGGGGTGACTTCAAGCCAACCTCACAGTGACCAGGAAAATGTCCAACAAAAAGATGCACAGTGAGGGCTTAATGGTGCTTAATTGGGGCTGGGGTGATGGCTCAGTGGTAGAGTGCTCTCCTAGCATGCATGAGGCACTGGGTTCCATCCTCGGCACCACATTAAAAACAAACTAATGTATCCACCTAAAACTTAAAGATACATAATAAATATTTTTTTTAAATGGTGCTTAATTGTTGCTGGGGATGTAGCATGGTGATACAATGTGTGCTTTGTGTGCACAAGGCCCAGGCTTTCATCCCTAGCACCAATAAATAATAATAAGAAATTAAATAACTCACACTTGTGTGTGTGTGTGTGTGTAGGTGTGTGTGTCTAACACGAAAAGCAATGCAGAGAAGAGAGAGGAGACTAATGTAGAAATGCTGGATATTATCTGTCATAAAGTAGAAATTATCCAAATAACACATGGAAGGAAAAAGGAGAAAAAGAAAAATAAATTGAAAAAAAAAAAAAACCTCTGTTTTGTAGACAATAGCTCTGTTAAAGAATATGGAAGGGAGAAACCTGGGAAAGCTGAGTAATAAAGGTTTAAATAAGAAAACAAGGGCTTAACAGCATTTATAAAAATAACCACTGGAACACAACCTTCCCGAATGCAATAAAAAAATATAGAGATGGAAACAACACTTAAGTCATTGAAAAATGTAACAAATACTAAAAAAAATGTAATAAGAAAAATTACTCAAGGGGCAGTTAGGGTCAAACGTATCAATCATATCAATAAACGTGAGTAGGCTTGACTTACCTATTAAAAGGAAAAGACCTTTGACTTGACTCACAAACCTAGATCCAAGTCTGTCCTGCACAGGAGAGTCACAGCTCAAGCAAAGTTGGTTCACAAAGACTGAACATAAAGGGCTGGACAGCCGGAGCAAAGCTCAGGTCACAGTAGGATCCACGCCCAAGGGTGTTAAGCACTACCAAGAAGAACACTTTTTTGTTCCAGTTTACAACACACAATGTAATATATGCACCAAATAACACAGCGCAGCACAAGGCAGAACCTGCAGGAGGTGCAAGGAGACTTCATAGAAACAGAGAAAGCACACCATACTAAGCACATTTATCATTAGAGATGAAAGAATGAAAATAAACTGACTTCCCCGCTCAAAACAACACAAAAACAAACAAGCAAAGTGAACCACAAAAAATGCATAGGGAAGCAAATAGTCAAAAGAAAAGCAGAAATTAGTGAAACAGGAAAAGAATTAAAATCCTGGTTTAAAAAAAAAGAATAGACAAGTCACCATTAAATCAAGAAAAAAGGGAGGGCAGGCATGGTGGCCCACGCTTATAATCCCAGCAGCTTGGGAGGCTGAGGCAGGAGGATCACAAGTTTGAGGCCAGCCTCAGCAACTTAGCAAAGCCCTAAGCAACTCAGCAAGACGCTGTCTCTAAGTAAAATATTAAAAAGGGCTGGGGATGTGGCGCAGTGGTCAAGTGTCCCAGAATTCAAACCCTGATACCAAAAAAAAAAAAAGAAAGAAAGAAAGAAAATTGGGCACCAGCCTAGTACCAACCACACAGGGACTGACTCCACCAGCAGCTCTTTCTCTCTCTCTCTCTCTTTCTTCCCAGGTCCCGGCCTGGCCTTCATCGCCTATCCAAAGGCTGTCACCATGATGCCTCTCTCCCCGCTGTGGGCCACCCTCTTCTTCATGATGCTCATCTTTCTGGGCCTGGACAGCCAGGTAAGCAGCCCAGAGGGAGAGGGGCCGGGGAGGCTGGGTGTTCTTTTTTATTTTTTTATTTTTATTTATTGGGACCAGGAATTGAACTCAGGTACTCGACCCCTGAGCCCCATCCCCAGCCCTATTTTGTATTTTATTTAGAGACAGGGTCTCCCTGAGTTGCTTAGGGCCTCGCTTTTTCCTGAGGCTGGCTTTGAACTTGTGATCCTCCTGCCTCAGCCTCCCGAGCCACTGGGGTTACAGGCGTGCGCCCCTGCGCCCCCCGTGGCCAGGCACTCTTCCTAGGAGCGAACCTTTGGTCCCAGCCACCGCCCCTCCTGGTAACACAGAGTCCCACGCGTCCCAACCAAATATTCCAAGGACCCCAGAGCACAGGAAGGCACCTCTTCCTTCCTCCCTCTGTCTTGGGGTCGCCATGACACAGCCTGGGTGGCCACTTGGTTCCCTTGGCATGTGGGAGCTGTTCTGGGTGGGAGGCTCTACAGGCAGGATGCCCAGTTTTAACAAGATGGTGCAGCCCCCCCGCCCGCCACCCCCGAGCCTCCTGTCCAGCCAAGCCTGTGCAGGACAGTGCCCAGGATGGCCCAGCAGATACTGCCCCAGCCGTGCCTCTGCACAAGTCACTTAGCACGGTCAGTGTAGGCGGCTGTCAACCCAGCCAAGCTCAATTCTCCCCCTGAGCCGTTCCACCTCGGAAACTGCTAAGCCGGGCTGCAGGAGCCCGGGTGCTTCGGCTGATAATCTTCTCATTGTTGCGGGCAGAATCCTCTGAGGGATCAGGGATCAGCGCTGGCACATGACAGGACAGGCTGCCTGGCAAAGGAGGCGGGGTTGGAGCCACGGCTGTGCTTGCCGTGTGCCTGGGCTGTGTTCTCAGTTCATTGTGGGCCAGGGACCCCTTTTGCTGCCCCCATGATACAAAAGAAACCAAGGCCCAGAGATGCCAGGTCACTGGCTGGAACCCAGGTCCGCGCCTTAGCTGCACACTCCAATGTCTCTTCCTCTCCTTCTTTGCTTAAACCATCTTCCTTGAATCCCCTCCCTCCCGGGACCCTGGAGAAAGGGTGAGCAATGCCAGTCCTTGCTGTGGAGGCAGAGCCTGGGCTTTGGAATGGGGCAGGGCTGGATTGGAGTCCCAGTGCCAGGACTCTCAACCAGCTGTGTGGCTTTTGGATAATCACTTTACCTCTCTGTGCTTCCTTCCCTTGGTCTGCACAGTATAAGGATGGAAATATCTTTCCTAAGAAGGTAGAAATGAATCATAAAGGATTTAAGACCAAGAAGTCGCTCCAAGGAAGGGGTCTGCCAACATGGTGCCCATCAGAAAAAAAAAAAATTTTTTTTAAGTTCTTCTCCAGAAAAGGGGTCATGCAAGAGATCTGCCCTCAGTTCTCTGAGAACCTGGGAGCAGGGGTGGGTATGGTGTTGGGATATTGAGTCTGGGTATTGACCAGGCAAGGAGTTGGCCTGCCTGATTGTGTCCAACACTTGGGATTCAGATGCTTCCATTCAGCCGTCCGTGCCTGGACAGTTTGGCCCAGAGATGGCAGAAACACAGGAGCTGGGTGTTGTCCTCCAACCAGCAGAGCCAGAGGCCAGGGAACTCGCACGGCCCTGGAGATCACAGAGCCTGCCTCCAGGACAGTGACAGAGGGAGAGACCCCTGCCTTGCCCCAAGGGCCAGGACTGGGTCTCATTTAACTCATTTAACCCCAGGAAAGGGGCCAGCACATAGACAAGACTCTGCATGCTGAGTGACCCTGGGCAGGTTCCCTCCCCTCTCTGAGCAACTTTGCCCTGGTGTGTTAAGTGGACACGCCAGGTCCCTATTAGTGCTGGGGTAGCCGTCACGATTCCCGGGCCCCCCCATCACGGGAGTGAGTGTGTGAACGAAGCCTGAGCCGGGTAGCAAAGGAGGCCGGGGTTTAACCCTCCGCAGCGCTCACCCAGAGCCAGCTCCCCCAGGAACGGCCTTTTTCTTGGGTTTCACACCATCCCATCTCCTCCCCCACCCACCCCATCCAGTTTGTGTGCGTGGAAAGCCTGGTGACCGCCGTGGTGGACATGTACCCCAAGGTCTTCCGGAGGGGCTATCGCCGGGAGCTGCTCATCCTGGCCCTGTCGGTCATCTCCTATTTTCTGGGCCTCGTGATGCTAACAGAGGTGAGTGGCACGCGTGGCCGGGTGCAAACGCCAAGTGCCTGGGCTCTGGGGCAGGCAGGTCCCTCCTCTGGCCCTGTTTGGCTGCAGGAGCCTGGGCAGGTCTCGTACCTTCTCTGCCCCCGCAGTTTCTCCTCTTCCCAACGGGTCGAGGTGAGAACGGAAGGCAGGTTGCCACCGGGTCTGGCCTCAGCCGCGCTTGGCTGACGGTAGCTGCTGTTGCCAGCAGAGAGGGGTAACGCCCAAGGGGGCCCTTGGGTTTCGCCAGTAATTTAAGAGCGTGGGGATGCCTGGGTCGCGGCTGTGAGTAAAGTGGTGGCCTCTGATCTCTCGTTCAAAGCAGGCTTTTCGAGGGGCCACCTCTGAGAATAGGCATCGGTGATATTTGGGACCTCCGGGGCACTGTGTTCCAGCTCCGGTTTTGTCCGTGGCCCCGTCTTAACCAGCTTTTTCATTGCTGTGAGCAGAGTGCCCCACAAGTCCAACTCGGAGGAGGCCTCCGCCCATAGATGGCCGGCTCCTTTGCCGTGGGCCTGGGTGAGGCAGATCGATAGGGTGCAGAGGTGTGGCGGAGGACAGCAGCTCAGCTTGTGGCCGGAGGAGAGCAGCTCAGCTTGTGGCTGGAGGAGAGCAGCTCAGCTTGTGGCCGGGTCAGGAAGCAGAGAGAGAGAGAGGGGGGAAAGGGGGCTTCGGGGCAGATGCACCCTGCCAGGGCACGTCCCCAGTGACCCTACCTCCTCCAGCCACACCCACCTCCTACAGTTACCACCCAGTCCGTCCATTCAGCCTGGGGTGGACTGCTGGGGCCACGGCTCTCGTGACCCAATCATTCGATCTCTGAAGAGTCCTGCATTCACAGGGGCTTTGGGGGACACCTCACGTCCAGACCAGCATAGTCCCTAGTGTTGCTCTGGCTGGGCCAGCAGGTGATTAAGGAGAACCGGAGCTGACCCTTGTCCAGGCTTGTGGCCCCAGAGTTGGCTCAGGCCTGGCCCCAAGCCGAGGATGCTCAGCGGCATTATTCCAGGCTCTACTATCGCTGCTTCTCGCCTGACACTCGGCACCTAAGCAAGTGAGGGGACAGGGCGGCGCGGCATTTCCTGGCCCCTCTCACCTCTCCCCACACGGGGCACCCCGGGCGCTGCAGTGAGCAGAGCCTCATTAAGCACCCATTAATCACGCAGAGCAGAGTCTTTTGTCGCATGCAAACGCGGGGGTTAACCCGATGCCTTGAAGAGGCCAACAGGGACAGGGTTACCAGAAGAGCAAGCGCTGGCACGGGTGTCCCCGCCTTGGAGCGCTGCCCACCCCCAGCTGCCCCCACCCCCGTTCGCAGAGCCTCTCCCCTGCCTTGGGTCTGCCCACGGGGTGCCTCAGGACCTCCAGGGACCATCAGGAAACCAGCGCTGTAGCCAGCTGCAGGGCAGACGCCCTGGCTTCACGCGCCAACCTCCGGCCTCTGCAGGGACATATCTGTGGGCCATTGCACCAGGGAATTTCTTTAAATTGCCAAATGGACCGTGTCCGCCTCCGCCTTCGTGGTAATTGCTGGCCGGATCTTCTCCCTCATTTATATACATTAAAAGCTCAGCTCCAGGCCAGCCATCTATCCTCCTCTCGGGCAGCGTGGTGAGTGGGTAAGGCCCTGAGCCCTGCAGCCAGACCACCCCTCGGAGAGCCCGCTGCTGATGACCTGCAGGAGGGATTCTTGCCTCTCTGTGCCTGAGTTTTCCCCCAGTAATCACTGGGGATAACCCTAGTCCCTATCTTGTAAGCACATGGGGACAGTCAGACAAGTGGATTAAGACCCAGGATGCAACCGGGCCTACAGTGGCACACCCCTGTCATCCCAGCAACTCAGGAGGCTGAGGCAAGAGGATTGCAAGTTGGAGGCCAGCCTCAGCAACTTAGCAAGGTCCTAAGCAACTTAGCAAGACCCCGTCTCTAAATAAAAAAATTGAAAAGGGCTGGGAATGTGGCTCAGTGGTTAATATCCCACGGTTCAATCTGTAGTACCAAAAGATAAATTTTAAAAAGAGAGAGAAAGAGAGGAAGGAAGGAAGGAAGGAAGGAAGGAAGGAAGGAAGGAAGGAAAGGGAACAGCCGGGTACTGCTGTGCATGACAGGAATGCGTTCTGAGAAGCCTGTCCTCAGGCAACTACTTTGTTCTATGGAGCATGACTACAATGTCACCAGGCAGTACAGTCTTAGGAGACTGCATATATGCAGTTCATTAAGAAACATCATCAGGGGCAGGGGCTGTAGCTCAGTGGCAGAGCGCTTGCCTAGCATGTGTGGGGCACTGGGTTCGATCCTCAGCACCACATAAAAATTAATGAAAAAAATAAAGGCCGTCTGTCCATCCACAACTACAAAAAAAAAAAAATCATCAGTTGAGACATAGCTGTATTTAACAAATGCTTCGTAAAAGGCTTCCTTGATCTCTTTGGTGGTTTTGTTTTGGTACTAGGAATGGGACCCAGGAGCGCTTCCCCACTGAGCCATATCCCCAGCCCCCTTTACGTTTTACTTTGAGACAGGATCTCTCTAAGTTGCTGAGGGCCTCGCTGAGTTGCTCAGGCTGGCTCTGAACTCACCGTCCTCCTTCCTCAGCCTCCTGAGCCACTGGGAACCTTGTTCTCTTCTTCACAGATAACGTGCATGGAAGGAGAGCGGTTAGGAAGGGGACCTTAAGTTGGGACTGAGAAAGCCAAACCCACTGCAAGTCTCAGGGGTGCCTCAGACCTGCCTCCTCTGCACTGTAGCGGTCACAGACAGGAGACCGCAGATCAGATATGGCCCAGAGGGTGGTTTTGTGACGCCCCTAACACGTTTCTTTAAAACATGAACAAGTCGGGCTGGGGTTGTAGCTCAGCGGAAGAGCACCTGCCTAGCATGTGTGAGGCACTGGGTTCAAGTCTCAGCACCACATATAATAAATAAAATAAAGGTCCATCAATAACTAAAAAATATTTCAAAAAAACATGAAGAAGTCACCAACTAGTCAAAAAATTTCCTTGAATATCTGGCCTTCTGACGTCTCCTAAAAAATCCACAGATCTGGCGTCGCACCTACACACCCCCTCCCCAACAGTCATCACCCAGAGCTGTGTGGCCAAAGGGGCTATGTCTCTCTGGTTAGCCATGCTCCCCACCACTCCCCTATGCCCATCCTCCCATAGACTTTCAATCATCTCTAGATGATGTATCACACCTACTACAATGTCAGTACTGGGAAAGTAGTTGTAATTTAGGGAATAATGTCTGTCCATGTTCAGTACAGATGTAGGGATTTTTTTTTTATTTTTTCCAATTATTTTCGTTCTGAGGTTTGTTGAATCTGTGGATGCAGAGGGCCATCTATATATTACAGAGGCAGCGCATTCATCCCCTTCATCCCACAAAGATTGACTGTGCACCTACCGGGTGCCACCCTCTGGGCCAGAAACTGGGGCATAGTTTAGGATAAGCCAGAGCCCTTGTCCCACAGACCCACACTCTGCATGATTCCATGTGCATTTATCAGGGACCTACTGTGCGCCATGCCTCGTCCAAGGGCTGGAGGCAAGAGGAGGACCGGTGTGTGGGGCCAGGAGTGAGAGCTCACAGAGCAGCTAGTGGGGAAATTCTTTTTGTTTTATAACTGTGAATCCCTAACACATGCTTTGGAGGCCCAAAGAAAGAATGAGGTTGAGAGGGGTTTTTTTTAGAGGAGATTAGATTTGATCTGAGCTTCAAAGGAACTTGCCAAGTGAAAGACTAAGTTGTCCCTTGCTCTGTCCGAGAGGGAGTATGTTGAAGAAGGGAGGAGGACAAGTCCCAGCCCTGAGTTAGGGAGCCGCAGGGTGATTTTAAACTATAGAGTGACACCGGTGGAAAGGTCCCTCAGAAAGCTGGTACCCAAAAGCATTGCAGAGGGTGAGGCTGGAGTCAGGGAGGCTCTTCCGGAGGCTGTTAGCACCATCCAGGGAGATGTGCTGAGGTTTTCCAACCTTGACTCTGATATTCCGTTCCATTTTTTTGGCCCTCGGGCAGATGGCAAAGGAGGGGCTGAGGCAAGATAAACCCCTCACACAGTCCCAGCAACCCCCAGAGGACGGGGCTTTGGGGACACCCAGGTGCAGTGTTCAGGGACAAGCAGACTCCCGACCAGTGGTAGCTGCAGAGCTGCAGAGCAGAGGGGCCCGCCCAGAGGCCTGCTGGCTGACCCTGCTCTTTCCCGTGTCTGTCTGGCGTCTGTTCCCTCACCTGCAGGGAGGCATGTACATCTTCCAGCTGTTTGACTCCTATGCGGCCAGCGGGATGTGCCTTCTCTTCGTGGCCATCTTCGAGTGCGTCTGCATCGGCTGGGTGTATGGTGAGTCGACGGGCACCTGCGCACACTCGGCTGCCTGTCTCGGCCCCGGTCCTGGCCTGGCCCTGGTCTCCGTGGTGGTCCTTGTCTGTATGAGCCTCTTCCCCTTTTCTCTTCTGGGGCCCCTTGGCCCCTTCCCACGGTGGGGGAGACCTTCCTGCTTATACATACCTGCAGCACAGGGGGAGGGGCTCAGGGCCCAGGCACTGTGACCTCGGGCCAGTCCTTCCCTGAGCCTCAGTTTCCCCCTCTGTGAAATGGAGCAGCCACGGCCCTGTCTCTGAGTAGGAGACAGGATGGGTGAAATATCCTGCGCAGTGGCTGGCCCTCGGTGACACCTGCCTCTGGTCCTTCCGTTCCCCAAACCAATCCCAAGTGCAGGCTGCCAGGCTCAGGGTCAGGTGGAGTGTGGCTGGGAACAGCCACCTCTGCTCAGGGTCCGTCGGCTTCCGCCCTCTGCCCACGCAGGTCAGCCCCCCTCGCCACACTTGGCCTCTCCAGAGGGCTCACCTTCCTAACCTTTCTCCAGAATCTCCTTGCTGCTCTCTGGACCTGGCTTCCCAGGTCCGGAGAGCCCTTCTCCATCAGCCGTCCAGAATCCCTCCTGCCCACACCTTATTCCAGACCGCGCCCCCCCTGTGTCAGTCACCTTGGCGCCACTGTAACGCAGCACCTGAGACGGGCTCCTTGGGAAGTGGGAGCTAAGTTCATGTTGGCTCCCGGGGTTCAGGAGATTCACGTTCAAGGTCGGGTGGCCCCATTGGTGAGAGCCACACAGCGTCGGGAATACGTGTCAGGGCCTCTCAATCCAGAGAGCAGAGAAAGAGAGATCAGGCAGGGTCCCACAGTTCCTTTGGGAACCCCCCAGTGACCTATGGGCCTTCCATAGACCCCCACCTCCTGCAGGTCCAGCACCGCTCCCAATAGCACCGCCCTAGGGACCCAGCCTTTAAGGAGGTAACTTTGGGGGACATAGGACATCCAAATCCTAGCACTTTTTGCTAGGTGTTAAGTATTCGATAAGGTCCCTGCTGCAGTCTCTCTGTCTCAGGGTCAGACAGAGTATTACCTTTGGGGCAAGCACTTCTCCCAAGCAAGCAGACAGACACCCAACCTCTCCTGACTTTTGTACTTGGCTGCCTATCTGCTTTATTCTGGACAGGAAGCAACCGGTTCTATGATAACATTGAAGACATGATTGGCTACCGGCCACTGTCGCTCATCAGATGGTGCTGGAAGGTCGTGACCCCTGGGATCTGCGCGGTAAGAGCCCCACCTGCAGCCCCTCCAGTTCCCCGCCTACTGGGTCACCCACTTTTCCACACTGTAGCCCTTCAGCCTGGCAGAGGCTGGTACTGAGAAGGCTCATGACCCCCTGCGTCCAAGCCACCGGACACCCCGGGGAGCTGGGGTCACAGGGCCAGGCTCTGGGCATGGCAAGGCAGGACCCGGCTCTGCTACCCAATCAGGGTAGGTGACCAAGAGCAAGTCTCCTCCTTGGGTTCAGTGTACTCAAGCTAGGTGCTGGAATCTGCTCCTTGGGGGTGGAGGATTACGTGAGTGAGAAGGTGTTGCCTTGTCATTAACAAAGAGGGTGACAGAGGTGGGGAGAACTGGGACTCGTGCTCTTCCCTAAGACCAGACTACAGAAGGGCTTCAACGAGGGCATTTTTATTTAATTTTTTAAAAAGCAAAAACAAAAAAAAAAAAGCAACCAGGCACAGTGGCTCACGCCTGCCATCTCAGCAGCTCGGGAGGCTGAGGCAGGAGGATCGGGGACCTGGACCTGTCTTGGGTGAGCGGGGCTGAAGACCCTCCCCGGGGACCTCTCTGTCTCTCTGCAGGGCATCTTCATCTTCTTCCTGGTCAAGTACAAGCCCCTGAAGTACAACAACGTCTACACCTACCCTGCCTGGGGCTACGGCATCGGCTGGCTCATGGCCTTGTCCTCCATGCTCTGCATCCCGCTCTGGATCTTCATCAAGCTGTGGAAGACAGAGGGCACGCTGCCCGAGGTGAGACGGCTCCGGAGCAGGGTCAGGAGGGCGCCCACCCCGGGGGCAGAGAGGGACACAGGGAGGGCTGGTGAGCAGGAGCAGAGCCCGGCCCGTCTCCAGGCCTTACTTAGCTTCCTCATCTGGATCACAGGCCTGATGGAACCTGTCCCTACCCGTCACACAGGGAAGCCATGGCAGACGTTCATCGTTCCAGTTGTGTTGAGCGTGTCTCTGTGAGGCCCGGGGGGGGGGGGGGGTGAGCCAGGTGTGAGCTCGGCCTCAGTTTCCCCATCTGTCAAGTGGAATAACAGCAGCTCCTAAGGGATAGGGCCGATGAGGATGTGGAAGTCCACACAGGGAAAGCACAGGACCAGGACCCAGACCAGGCGGGAGTAGCCAAGTGTTAGTGTTCAGTCTTCTGTTTGCTCTATTCATCCTGACATTTGGGGACACCTATTCTGTGTCACCCCCTTATTGGGCTCTCTACCCGCTGCATCTTTTGCACTCCTCAGAGCAAACCAAGCCCCTGCAGTTAACAGGTCAAGGAGATGGAGGCTCGGAGAAGTGGAGTCACTTCCTAAGATCCCACAGCCCAAAGTTAGCAGAGCAATTTTTAAAAACAGCTTTAAGTGCATATCACAGAATTCATTCGTTTCAGATACACAGATCAATATTATTTTAATAGCTTTCCATAGAGTGCAATCATCACCCAAAATCAAAAACTGTGAATCATTCACAGTTCACCCCTGTTCCCACCTTAGACAACCACTAATCCACTTTCTCTATCTGTGGATTTGTCTATTCTGGTCACTTCTTAAAAAGGAACCATACAGCATGTGGTCTTCTATTAGCAGACTTTATTTTAAATAAGCCCGTCTTATCCTTGGGTACTTGCTCTCCCTTTACTCTCCTTCCCCACCTGCCAGTCAGAGGGTTGAAGTCACTTTCTGCAAACCACAATGTTTGCTTCATGGTACGCACTGTCCTATGTAGTTTACAAATACTAAGTCATTTAATCCTGTGAGATGCAGATGCTTATCACCTGTACAGATGAGAAAACTAGCACACAAAGAAGTAAAACAACTTTTTCCGGTGGGTGCACACCTGTCATCCCAGCAGCTTGGGAGGCTGATGCAGGAGGATCACAAGTTCAAAGCCAGCCTCAGAAACTTAGCAAGGTCCTAAGCAACTCAGTGAGACCCTGTCTCACAGTAAAATACATAAGAAAGGTTGGGGATGTAGCTCAGTTGTTGAGTGTCACTAGTTTAAAAAAATCTCTAGTTTAAAAAAAAAAAAAGAAAGAAAGCAACTTTCCAAAGAGACACAGCCTCTGAAAAATGGAGCCGGAACTAAAGTCTGTGTTCCTGAGCTTTGCTGCCTCAGCTTCTTTGACTGAACTGACCGTGCTCCATTTCAGGGCCCCGTTTCTGCCCGATGGCCACATCACACAGGGATGGCAGAAGTTGACTCTTGTCTCCTAGCTCAAGGAGAGAGGGAGACAGGAGTAGGAAGTGTGTGTGCAGAAGCAAGTTCCAGCTCAGAGTCAGTGTCACCCAATTCACCTGCTCACAGAGGGCCCTGGGCACCCAGCCAAAAAGAGCAAGCCAGGAAGGAAGGTCCCTACGAAGCCTGCTCATGCCCAGAGCAAGTCAGGCTCCTCACTGCTTGTAAGGAATATGGGTCGAAGGCAATTGGTTAATTCTGATCTGAGACCAAACACCTCCAGAAGGGAGCCGCCCTCGTGGCTTTAAAAGTTCACCCACTGGACGCCCGCGCACTGACTGAACTTTCAGATGACCTCTGGACGTTCAGAAATGTTTGGTGCTTCCTGCTAGATCCCCAGAGATTTTTTTTTTTCTCAGCCCCTGTGTGTTAGAAAAGAGGGAGAGAGAGTACAGGCTGCTCTCCTGAGCTTCCTCCATCTCCCTAAACTTACACCCCTTCTGACCCAATGAGACAATCTGACCCTGGACAACGTGACTTATGAAATCATGAGCAACGTCTCTGAAGGCGGTCAAACCCAGCTTCCAGGCCTCACACACTTCTGCCCACAGACAGGAAGAATCTGGAGGGAAAGTGGGGACCACAGGACCTGCCTTGGAGAACTGCCCTGAGGGAAAATCATAGAAGTAATGTGTCAGTACCGTGGCTGGTCACCTCATCTGAGCCTCGTGACAATGCTAGACAGCCGGTGCCCTTATTTTACAGATGAGGAAACCGAGGCACAGAGAGCTGAAGTTTCTTGCCCTTGGGCAGGGGTGGAACTGGGACCCAGACCCGGGCTCCTGGGTCAGAGCCTGGGCTCTGAACCCTAATCTAGGTCAACAGCCTGACACGGTGCCTGACACACAGGAGGCACCTATCAATCAGCCCCAGTGCACCAGCCTGACGCTCCTATGCGGACACTGTAGGTTTAGTTTCTCAGGCCTGGCAGGGTCAGAAAGAGAAGACCTTGAAGGAGTTACCTCCTCAATTCTTTGCAGCCCTCCCCCCCCACCACCTCCACTCAGGAAAGCATTTCTGATTGGAAAGGGCCTACCGAATCCTGGCCTCGTGTCTTTTCCTCGGGGAACCTGGGAAGTCCTGATGAGGTTGATGTGGGGTCCCGTTCTGAGAGGCAAGAGGTGGGGGATGACAGCCATCCCACTGTGTCCAGCCGGCAGGGCCGTGAGCGTCGGCATTCCTGATCACGATTAGTGATCTGCATTTGAGCAAGGCCCCAGGAGCACATTACACACCCGTGCATTGCCCTGTGTGCTGGCAGGGTGAGGACATCCCTTTTGTGGGACAGGTGCCCATCCGTCTGGGAGTCCTTGTGTCAACAGCCCTTCCAGGAAGGAACTGTTAACCCATTCCATAGAGGAGGAAAAGGTAGCTCACGGAGGTTAAGTGCAGTGGCTGAGCAGCGATTCAAACCGCAGCTCCCAGGTCCCCTCCCGTGGGTCCTGGTCGTAGCTCTCAAGTCCTGATCACCTCTCACAGGCCACGCGCGCGCGGTAGGCCACGGTCTTCTGCACATGCCAACGTTGCTCCTTACCTAAGGCCAGGGGTAGGGAAGACCCACAGGAGCCAACACACCATTCAGATCAGATGAGTATGGCAGAGCCAGGGCCGGGACCCCAGTCTGACGACTCCACAGGCCTGAGGCCTTCACCTGTGCAGAGAGGGAGAGGCAGAGGCTGAAGCCCAGACCCCCCCCCACCGCCCCTCTCAGACCCGTTCTCCTCTCCAATCATCTAGAAACTCCGGAAGTTGACAGTCCCCAGCGCCGATCTGAAAATGCGGGGCAAGCTTGGGGCAGGCCCACGGACGGTGATGGTTAATGACTGTGACGCCAAGCTCAAGGGTGACGGCACCATCGCCGCCATCACAGAAAAGGAGACGCACTTCTGAGCCACCTCCCTCCCGCCACCTCAAGGCTTCTCTTCTCTTCCCTCCCGTGTGTTTAAAAAAAAAAAAAAAAAAAAATGAATACCTGAAACACATACTTCTCCTAATGCTAGGGGCTTGCTCGTTTTGCACAGGATGTATTAACAAGTTAATTTCCAGCCGGCCACCGTACCCTCTGGTTTAAAGCCAGAGCCCCCCCGCCTCGCCCTCTCCCAGTGACCATGGAAGTATCCACCACAAGATAATACTGTACAGTGACTAGCACACCCTTCTTGCCCTCGGGTGGTTTTGATTAGTGTTTTCTAGGGATTAATGTATCCTATTGTAAAACTTTTGTACTTGGGCCTGGGGGCAGGTGGGATGGGGAGTGAGGCCTGGCCTCCTCTGTTGGCCTTGGAACCCACCCAGGTCCACGTCTGCGCTTGTCCCTGACCGTGGGCAGCCGCCCCTCCTCCGTGCCCCCAGGGAGTGTTTTACTCTGAGCCTTCCCTTGGCCATGGACATGGGGTCTGCAGACTCAAGGTCATGTGGCAGAGAAGGACTCCTGATTTGTAGGACCACCCCCCCCCTCTGCCCTGATCTCTCGGGCACTACCTTCCCTCCGCTGGGCTTCAGTGTTCCCATCTCCCCAGCTGCGGGAGGAGCTAGAGCAGGTGACCTCTTTGCCTCACTGCCTTGCAGAGCTGCCATTGATATCAGCTTCTCCTGTAGACCCGCGGGCCACCTCTGCCCTCCCCGCCGGACCCCCATGCCCACCTGCTTCTTTACAATCGGATGTATCACGGGACAATGTGGTGGCGATGTGTGTTTTCCCCCAAAACTCTGTTTGATGTCATCCCTGTTCCTAGAGACGGGCGGGGCTTCCTCCCATCTGGGCCTCCCCGTCTCCAGGCTCTCTGCTGTCCCCCTGAGTTCTGTCCCTCCATCCCAAGCAGGGCTGTCTGGAGCGGCCATGGGGGCTGGTCTCTGGAGTCGGGAGGCAGCATTTTTTTTCTCCTTGCAGCTGCCCCAGCCAAGATCTGCAGCCTCCCAGTGAGGCCCCCGGAGGCAGGTGTCAATCTGAGCCCCTCTGTGTGCCCAGAGCCACTTCTTCTCCCTCTTGCTGCCCCCTATGCTCACCCTCTTGACTGTGCTGGAGGATCTTATGTGGAAGCTTCTTCTCCACACTTTATTCGGGGGCCATCCCATCTGCCCTCTGTCCTCATCCCCTGCTAAAGAGGAGAAACGGCCATTGCTCCTGGCTCTTGCTCTGTGTGAACCTGGGGTCTTCAGGGGAGGCTGGTACTGCACCCTCCCAGCCCGGCTCCCGGCCTCCCTGGCTGGTACCCCCCTCTTCCCTGTTCCTCGGCTGTTGGAGGTCAGAAAGGTGAATTCTTTTTTCCTTTCCAAACTAAGGCTGCATTTTCCTACAGGGCACCCACGTGTTGGATTCACCCCCAAAGTTTCCAAACTGCCAGGTTCTCTGCTCCGACCAGCCCCCATCTAAAACTGGAAATTTGCTCCGAGGGACGCCCAGCTCCCACTCGGGGCAGGTTGGGGCACCTTGTTCCGGAGGGCCCCCCCCTCGCCTTGGTCACACAGCTCAGGCCTGCCCATTCATTGGTGGAACGTCCAGTGTCCTCCTCATGGGAAGGCCAGTGTCACCCTGAGCTGTCTGGCCCAATGGACTCCGGGAAGATGGCCTGCGTGTGTTGGTCCTCGGCTGCTGTCCTCCCGGCAGTCAGGGAGGGGGCTTCCCAATGCTGCTACTGTGTCCTCCACCACCAACTCCCTCACGGACGGACCGATAGATCTCTGAGGTCTCGTCTTGACGGACACACACACACGGGGTACATCTGGCACTTAACACTTGACACTTAACACTACTCATCGGGCAGGGGTGGAGGGAGGCCGTGGGTGTGGGAGTTTTTATTTCTTTTTTTTTTTTCTTTTTTTTTCTTTTTTTGTAATTTCCTACTAGTGTGTTTGGGTAACTTTAGGGGGGTGGGGCGGGCAGCGTGGGGGTGGGGGGAACGCATCATTGTGATGACATTTTTGATATTCATTAGAAACAATACATCCTTTCTGAGATATTTACAGTATTATTAAAAAAATGTAAAAGGTTGTACTGTTTTGCATAATGAACGTTTTTACTGGGGATCCAAAGGGCACAAGACTGCTTACTCATTTTTAAAAATTAAAGAAGTGAACTACCACATTCTTGTTCCCGGCAGGGTGATATTCTTTGAGTTTTTCTTGTTGTTGTTGTTGTTGAGGGAATCGTTGTTTTACTCCCATGATATGCCTGCCAAACCATCCTGGTTCCATGTTTGGAGTTTATGGTCAGCATTGCTGATCGGAAACAACTGGAGCTTCCGTTTCTTTCCGTTCACTGTTGATGTGGCACAGTCTGGCCACTTGGTAGCCGCAGGTTTTCCTCCATTTGCCCACACGAGCTTGCAGGTGGCTGGTAAAGCTCTGAATCCACACTAGCTATATCCTGAAGGAACAGTTCCCAAGCTCCAACAGTGTTTGTAATATTGCTTAGAACTTAGACGAAAATCTCTAAATTTCTATCTGACATTTCCAAACGTCCGCTCAAGACCACAGAGCACATCTTGTCCTGCCAGTCCACAGTACAATCAGCTCACCTCACAGTGTCTGCTCATTGCTATCCCACAATTTTTTTTTTCTTCCAGTCCTGATCTCAGTGTTTACTTGAACCTGTCTGAAACACACATGTATGGGCAGCAAGACAAGAAGAGGTTGAATCACAGAAATGTGGGTCTGTCTCCTTTCCAGGAAACCTGATTGGTAGACCTTGAGTCTACAGAATTGGTAACATGAGAAATTATTTTACACTTCATATCTAAACCATAACAAGTTCTGCTGACTGAGGGCAGGAGATGGATGTTTCAGCTCAAGCTGAGAGAACAAGTTCACCCTTTCTCCACCTTTCTCTTCTACCTGGGCCTTCCACAGACCAGATGTTGCCTGCCACCCACATTGGCAAGGGCCATCTTTTTTTACTTGGTTCAAAGATGCAAATGAGCATCTCTCCAAGAATCACCCTTGCAGACACACCCAGAGGCAATGTTTTACTAGCTATCTGGGCATCCCTTAGCCCAGTCAAGTTGGCGTGGAACTACCGTCACATACCACTTTTGGGAGCCTCTGAGTGCCACCCCAACTATCACTAGGGATGGATCATCAAGGCCATGGAAAAGCTACAGAAGGTGGTGAAGACCTTGCAAGAAGCCCTGAGGGTCTTTAGCAGCCTCAAAATCCTTTGGTCCCACAGGGTACCTCTTGAAGCCTCCATAATTTCTCAGAAATGACAGAATCCCACTGGAACTTGCTGAGAGGGACAAGGGGATATATGAGACCAGCGAGAGGCACTGAGGACAGAAGGTACCACCAGAGCCCCTGGAGACCTGAAAGATGTCACAAGGTCCTGGGAAGCCAGTAGAATCATGGAGCCATCAGTGAGTGATACAGGTGTTTGAGAGTTATGAGGGCCGAGGGACAGGAGTTGTAAGGGGCTGCTGAAAGAAAGGGAGACTCACTGGAGCTGTGGGGGGCCTTCAGGGTACTTAGTCACTATTGAAAGTCATTACAGCCATATCTATATCTATCTATATCTATCTCTCTCTCTCCGCCGCCCCCCATTATAGGGTAGAGAGAGGGGACTGAAAACTGTAGCATGAAAGAAGAATCAATTATTGATCAATTAAAGGATGATTTACCTGGGACAAAGCCAGGCATTTCCCATAAGCCTCAAAACAACCATAACTGTGTTTTTGGGTTTTTTTTTTTTTCCCATTTTAAAGATGCATAAAACAACTCGGAGAGACAGGAGGGAGAGGAGCTCTTTGAAGCCAGGCAATTCAACCCAGAGCCGTTCAGTTTTTTCCTTTATTTATTTATTTTTCTTTCATACCAGGCTTGGCCCCAGCGGCTATGGCAGGGAATGGTCAACCCAGAGCCTCTCCTAATCCTTTGCCTTCCCACCCAGAGTCCTGGGCACAGACAGGCAGGCTGCAGAAGGCTGGCCACCAGGTGGCGCAATTGCTAAACCCAGACGGGTGAGGTCCAAATGGAAACGGGGACCCTCCCAAGAGACCAAGGGTCCAGAGGTCCCCACCTGGGTGCTCCAGTGAGGGACAGAAGGCTGCCTTTGATAAACGGGTGTAAACCATTCTCATAAAGCCCCGCCCGTACCCCATCTGCCAGACACACCTGGGTTCAGTTCTGAACTCCACCTCCTGGCTGGCTGACCTTGGGCCAATGACTTTACCTCTCTGGTTTCAGCGTCCTCATCTATACAAATGGACAGAATCAGCCTGTTTTGGTCAGCTTGTTCGCAGTGATGACCTAAAGACCTGACAAGAACAATTTTGGAGGAGGAAAAATATATTTGGGGGCTCAGGGTTTCAGAGGTCTCAGTTCATAGACAATTGACTCCATTCGGGGGGGGGGGGCGGCGCTCTAGGTCAGGCAGAACAGCATAGCAGAAGGGTGCAGCTAAGGCAGGCAGCTCAGGACATGGTACTCGGGAATCAGAGAGGTGTGTTCACCAGTGACAAAATATGAGCCCCAAAGACATGCCCCCAGTGACCTACCTCCTCCAGCCACACCCTACCCGCCCAAGGTTACCACCCAGTTAATCCCTGGATTAATGCACTGATTAGGTTAAGGCTCTCAAAACCCCATCATTTCACCTCTGAACTTTCCTGCATTGTCTCACCCATGAGCTTTTGGGGGACACCTCACATCTAAACCCTAACAACACAGTCCCTCTGGATTAAATGAGATGACAGTATGCGCCCAAGTGTCTGACCCATAGGAAGAATGAGATCTCACTAAATTGCTGAGGCTGGCCTCGAACCTGTGATCCTCCTCCCTCAGCCTCCTGAGCCACTGGGATGACAGGCGTGCACCACTGCACCTGGCTTTTACTAATTATTTTTTAAATGAAGAATATTGATTTTACCTTTGGAAAAAAAAAAACAAAATCAATGAAGCTGTTTTTAAAAATCCTCTCTCTCCGCCACCGAGAGGTTGGTCCCAAGTGAAGACTCTGAGGGGAAGGAAAAATG